TCTACACAGCACACCTTCCTCTTCTTCGCAACAGAACTGCCTGTCTGTGAGTGTGCTGTCAGACTTACTTAATTCTAGTAGAGGTTCCAGAGACTGAGAGCACATGCATAAAAGTGGAGACTCTTTGCCTTAGAATTGGCATGCACGGCAAACAAAGAGAATCTTGACTGGAGGGAAAAATCGATGACTTCAGGGAAAGTTCTTGTCTAGGAAGCCTTATCTGTCTAGGTTGAGAATGTAGAGGAGATCAAGAATTGCCCAGTAGGTTGCAAGCTATATAATATACTAAACAGCCCTCTAGTAAGTACAGATAGTTATAACTGGGTTACTTTCTCACCAGTCAGGAAGATACTTTCTTAAACGTTTTCCAAGCTCCTGAACACATAATAACAATTGACTCTAGAGATACTCCTATCTCTTCCCATCAGACCCCACTGCTGTTAAAGATGGGAAGGTGGCTATTCCTTGCTTTCATTATCAAACTTGTGGATATGCACAGAGGCTACTATGGAGGTAAGCAAGCAAATGCTGATGGCACCAAGGAGAGGAGATGAACCTAGAGCATTCTGTGTGCAGTCAGGCTAGCACAATGAACTGTACTTAGACTTATACCTCAAAAAAATCTCATTTAAAGAATTGATTGAGACTCTAGAACAAGGTAAGCTCTAACCACTAGTGGGATCTTCTCTGTACACAGAAGAATGGGGAAGGAAAAATCTATAACTACTGGCTAGGTCTACTCCATAGACGCTAGGTTGCTTATCTGTAATATTGACTTTTATGGAGCTATAATCCTGTAGGGAAATAACATTGACTGGCTATTGTGCCCAGCCATCACAAGGCCCAATAGAAAATGAAATCCATGTGGAAAGTAACATTGATAATAGGATAAGCCAGGGTGAAAAATAAAGGTATTTTGTAAATTTACAAAGCCCTTTTAGTTCCTGGGACCATTTTCTAGGCACACTCTATTTGTGTCCTAATTCTTGCTTTTAGCAGTTTTCTCTTTGTCCGGGACTGCATCGGTGATCTTGAAGAGTGACAGATAGATAGCAGAGCTTTTTAAAATTCATCTATAAATAGACTAATTAACGGAAAATTAATTCAATAACATTTACAGTGAACCTTTCTCTGTGAGAGCCTTGAAGGTTTCAAAGATGCTAGGATCCTTGGGATTTTCAAAGATGAATCAAACTTTTCAGGCAGATCTTATCCTTAGAGAAATTGCAGACAGAGAAAATGGAAAGTATATAAGGACAGTTCAGTAAAACATAGGAATCCACATGAGACACATGTCTAAAACCCAAGGGAGGCTCCAGAAAGGCAGCAATTTCTTCAAGTTATGGAGAAATAGGGAAGGGTGCAGGAGAGAGAAGTAACACTTGCTCAGGGAAACACTGAGATGGAAAAAGAAAGAGGGAAATAACCTAGGCAGAAAACTAATGCAATTGTGGGACGTAAGTAGAAACAGAATACTGTGTGAAGACAATGGGAGGGCTTTATACATCACCGTTTTGTAGTACTATTACATAAATATTTATAGGAAGCTAGCCTTGTAAAGAAAACTTATTCATTTAGATCAAGAGTTTACAAGTTAAAAAAGTTTCCATGGCATGATAAAGTGCCCCTCCTCCATCTCTCCAACACTGATGAACGTTTGCCTTCATTACAGGGTCATCTTCAACAACTTTCAGGAAGGTTGGGGAGAGTGAATGATCACATTACAGAAAAGAAACCCAGAGAGAGATTCTGGTAAGGCCAGTTCTGGCCTTTGTTAACAAATCTCCTTGAAAATTAAATCAGGAGCTCCACAATAATACTCTATTTCATCTAAGGGCAGCAGTAACCGTATATGATCCAGGTATCTCCCCACAGACCCACCTCTTAAAGTTCCATACTTTTTGTTACCCATTACAGACCAAAAATTTCAGTATTTGACCTCTTGGAGACATAGTCAACTATATGTTTTCTGGGGTCTGTGTCTTTCTCACAGAGCAAACTGGGCATTAGTTGTAACCCAAATAGTCCTAAAGCCTGTTTCTATACCATTCAAAATTCCAAATGAAAATTCCCATCTTATCTCAGGGGAAACTTCCTAATAATACACTGGTATACAATAAAACAAATTATGCTTCCAAGATACAACTGCATTCTGGGTACAGAGCAAACAGTTTTACTCTAAAAGGGAGAAGAAGGAAGAAGAAAGGAGTAATGAACACAAAGAAAAACTGAGACCCAGGGAGGCTCTCAAATCTTGTGTCTTGTGCACATTGTAGTGAAGGATGGGCCTCCTAGTGCTTAGGGTGCTTAGCCCATGTGACTGGGCAGGTTGTTTCCACACATGGTTGCCTCTGGGCTTTGTGCGGATGTTGGTAGCTTTTCCAGTGGGTGTAGCACACTCCTGTCCACCTTCCTTACAGAAAGTTCAACGTGACATCACAGATCCGCTAGTTAGCTCCGCCTATTGCAGGGCCTCAAGACTCTGTGGATCTGTGGCAAACTGCTGCTTGACATCTACAACTCTCCTTTGCCTTCTCTTTGGAAGTCTCCTAACACCAACATTCATGCTTTACATGTTTTCAAAAGAAACTCTATGTGGACACTAGTACTTTGAGCTACATTGGGTGTGCTTGCACCATGACTGCAAAGACCATAAAGGGCTTGCTGGAAAGCCAGAGTCGCAAGGCGGCCTTGCTTTGGTCAGCAGCTCTGTTCAGAGCACCCATGGGCTATAAAACTCTTCTGCCTTGGAAGTTCTTTGGGTTTATGATAAGAAGGGTAGCATTAAAACTTTCTTAGATTCCCATGTGTCCTCCTCTAGTTGTGTTCTTCATGCAAAGCTCTTGGCTCATTTTCTTACAAGTTGTCTCTCCAACATACAGTTTTTATTGATGCACCTGTGCATACTCATGTCTTTCCTCGACTGGCAGTGTATGTCTCTCAAATCCCCACCCTTATTTTTGTTCCTCAGTCTCACCATAAACTTGACTAAAAAGAGTGTAATAAACATGCCACATTATTAATTCTTCCTTTTAAAATTCCCCCCACTGACCTCTACCAGGGTCTGACCTGTATCATTCCTAAGCTGCAGGGGCCATCTATTCCAGACTGATGTCTTTGGGGCTTTGTTTGGAACCAGACAAACAGTTCCTGGGTCCGACCCTGAGTCGGGGAGTGCGAATCAGGGAAGTCTTAGCTACCCAGTGGCTTTAAGAACAAGACAGGAGGGCTCTCAGTCTATACTGGAGACCATGGTTTATTCAAGCATCCTCTTACATTGCTTTCCAAAAGTGGGGTACTGGCAGAAGACAACTATTTTCATGTATATATGACTGACTAGGAAACACCTCCTTGAACCCTACAGATGGTCCTAGAATGCACATACACAAGCCCTCAGACTTTCCGTAATGACACATCTCACCAGTCTTCAGACACATCCCACCAGTCCCTAGGCACGTCCCACTAGCCCTCATGACGGGCGTGTAGCCTAGGTCTATTGTTACACAAACCAGAAACCATTTTCCACTGTGGCCAGGTCATCCAGAGGTAACTATCCCACATCTAGAATAAAATAGGAGATTCAAGCTCCTGGAATTGAGCTAAGGCTTATAACCGAAATATCATATTTGGGCCCAGACAGACCTCGTGTAACATCTTAGTATAATAGAATGCAACTAAGGCCTCTGTGATTCAACAAAGATGGCCTTTTAAACAATTTCTAACTTGATCTGCATTGCCAACTGAGACCTCATCAGCATGGCCTTTATTGCCATTGCTGTTTCACCAATCTTCAATATATTTTTGATCTTCTCTAGTCTCTCTATCTTCTCATATATCACCAGAATTGCTCATAACATTTTGCTTATCACAATCTAAGTAGTTTTCAGTCTGTGCTTTAAACTCTTTCAAAGATGCCATAATGGTTTCAAGTACAGTTATAGTGATGGCCTTGATCTTGATAATAGTGTTCTGTATTGGTTCATTTCTTATTGCTGTAAGGTTATCTAAGGTAATCCAACTTTATAAAGAAAGTAGGTTTGTGTAGTGTACAATGCCAGAGGTCCAAGTTCTGTTGATTCATCTGGTAATGACTCCCTTACAGGCAGAATCTAGAGACAGCGTAGGCATCAAATGGCAAAAACAAAGAATACATGCATGTATATTATGATGTTGTATTCTTCATTCTTATAGATGCAATGGGTCCAACTTTGGTAGTGTCACTCTGATGTCCTTATTTAATAAACATTTCTTTCCAAATATCCTACTTTTTCAACGCTTCATAGCAGAGATTTGTTTTCAGTATTTTAAACTTTGGGAAATACTGTAGCTCCATCTAACCCACAGGGTAAATTACTTTTAGAATGGTCAATGTGGACTCATTCCAGCACATGTAATGACCTCAGAGACTCAGACTCTATGATACAGCAGCCAATCAGAAACCAATGACAACTTGTTTGACTGTAATGTTATTTTCAAAACTGAATGTCAGGTGTATTAGTCAGGCTGTCATTCAACACATGTTTATTGGGTGTGCTCTCCATGCTGCAATGTACTATGCTCAATGATGTAATAGAAAAGGGATATGTCGTGTAATCCCTGATTGGAAAACGATCTTACATTTTAAAGAAGTAAATTCAAATTCATATATATATGTATATATATATTCAGTATAGATAAATACTGACATTGAACTCTGGTAGGTCAATTTTTGGTTTCCAACGAGTTAAATTTAGGACAGTTTTTATTGAAATAAATTGCCAATAATGTTCTGTCTGTGACAATAGCTGGCTCTAAGTTTTTGCTAGTGTAGTAGACTAGATTGCTTCAAGCCACCATCCAGAGTGGATTTGGTACGTGGATTTAAAATTTCCAAAGTTCATTCCCTCACTCATTGTGTAGTTCATCTATTTAAATAGATATTCTTCCTTTGTCTCAATGATTGTTCTATGCAGTTACCTAAACTTGATATGTAATTATTATTTAATTCTTTATTGCAATAGATTATGTGTCTCCAGGATCAGGGGCATTGGCCAAGGATGTTTGTCAACCAGTCACTTATTTAGTCAGTGTGAAGTTTGCCGGAGAATTGTGTCTACCTCTTCATTCTGACTTAGAAACACAACAGCTGCACCAGGATGAAGAGATGACGTCACCTAAGAAGCTGTTAATATTTCAGGTGACAGCTGGAATCTGGATGCTTTGAGAAGTCTCAGCTGTTAATTTCATTCAGTTCCTTATCAGTTAGGCACACCCATTTGTGCATGTACACAATAGTCCAATACTGACAATATAGATATTATAAAATTAATTGCTTGCTTTTGTTTTATGTTTTGCTTCCTTTAGTTTAGGAAATAACCACAAATAAATTATTTTCCTTTGTTGAAGTGACTTTGGAAATTGTTTTCTTCTTGGCTAATATTAATAACACTATAGACTTAGAATATTAGGTGTCTCCAGAAATGCTCAGTGAAGTGTTCAGAAGTCTGACTTTGGGGAAGTGAGAGCTCTAACTTAATCAATAAATTCATCTTTTGATGGCATCATTTAGAGGTAGTGGAAATTATAGTACTGAACTTGATTGGAGAAAGTAGGTCAACTGGAGTGTGTCTCTGAAAGACATATCTCATCCTCTCCCATACTGCCTGATTTTCTGGTCACAATGACGTGAGCCTCATCATGTCAGCCATGGACTGGAGTCACAAAAGCTATGCACCCAAATCTTTCCACCCCTTAACTGCTTTTTCTCTTTGAAACTAGTCAGAGCCAAGCAATCTCTGACTAATACAACATTGCACCACCACCACTATTAAAACTTCTTGGAGTTCTACCCATGAGTAGTGCTCTGTGTCTGGACACGCCATTCTTTATAAACAGAGAAGCATTTAGAATCCTTTGTGGACAAGAGATAGCATCTCTATCCCAGTGCTATTCTGGCAGGCAATGGCATCCAGCTGTGCTCCTGTTTACTTTCTGTGAAGGATGACTAACTGGGATGTACAGCTTAGTTAGCCTTGGGCCAAACCCTGCAACACTTGTGAAATTAGGACCTACACTTTATATGGGTTAGATCTTGTTCCCTCTGTACAGAAATCCACTGGTTAATTGCCTACAGGCAAATAAGAAACTGAAAGTTAATGTATTAGGTGCTGATGAAGCTGCTGGACTATTCCTCAAAATAGCTTCTTCTCTTGGGTCCTTTCTCCCTGTTTTCTTCCTTGTATGACTTCTTTCTCCCAGACATGTCTGAGGCCTGAGGCCATTCTTAAAACTGGCACACATGCAAGTTTATATATTCTACAAGTTGTTACTCAGCGCCCAAAAGCGTGGCTCAGGCAGTAATAAGAATTTAAATAAAAGATGTGAAAATTAGATTCCTTCTCTCATCCTAAGTGCTTCTACAGGTATTTGAGTTTTCTGGGTCAGCTGCCCATACACTCAATGTTGTTGCGAGTGGAAAGGTCCGTGAAAATGTTTGGGGCTAACAGATGTTTTGCACCTCTCTTTCTCCCCAGATGTACTATATCTCACAGCCTGAAAGTGATTTCCCTTTATGATACCTCACAGCACATTGCAGACTGAAATGGAATTCTGTTTCCTAAATACATTTAAATATTAGCCAAATATAAAGGTGCGAACACAGCCAGCGATCCATGAATACACAAATACATTTCAAAACATTCTGTACTTCGAGAATCAGAAAATGATATTTCTGGGACCAATGAAGATGGATGCAACCCCCCCCCATGGAAGTATGCCTGCCTGTGTATCCACGCATCACTATTATATTTACCACCATAGCACCTGGGCCTTTTGTTGAGAAACATTTCTTGGTCTTAATGATGATAAACTCAGGAATACGCAGGAGCAAGAGAGCTAATTTATAAATACCGTGAATCTCATTCGTAACGGCCAGTATCAGGAGGCCATTGTGTAGATGTGTCCAGATCATTAAGTAGTAAGGCTGGCAACATTACAAATTCCTTTTCACTGTGCAGAGAGGCTGGCGAAGGGGAAAAGGGATAACAGGCAGGTGCTCTTTTTGTTTTGTTTTAGAGGCTGAAAATGTAACTGGTACCTCTTGATTTCATGTTTCCCACTTTGGGCTCCTGTAAAGCACCATTGCCCTTTGTAACCAAGGTCTGGGCTCCCAGACTTGCTGAGCTCGTGTATGCCTTCTTTGTTAAGTCCATTCCTGGAAGCAAAAGGGGCTACCAAGAGATTCAAGGAGAAGCACATTGCTGCCATTTTTATTGTGTGCCATTTTCATAGTTTCCAACATCGCAGGTAAATCCATACTGATTCATGTTGTGAGACTGCTAAAATTTGTCGTTACAGGAAACTGGGCCAAGGTTGAGCCCGATTTCAACTATTTCAAGGAGCATGTTGCCTACTACTCTTGTATCTAAATGCTACCTAGGCTCGTTGTATATCTAGAACATTTTAGCTGCCTAGCATGCTTTTTATAATTAAGTCATGGACTCTTTTTGTGATATGGTTGTGGTGGTTCTAGTGGAAAATGTCCCTCATAGACTCATATGCTTATACACTTGATCTCCAGCTGGTGGCGCTGCTTGGGATGGGTATGGAACCTTATGGGGGCTTTAAAGCCTTGCTCCTCCGGTTTCATTTTCTCTGATTCCTGAGTGTGCTTGAAGATGTGAGCATCTAGCTTCCTGCTCCTGCTGCCATAATACCACTACGAGGAACTCAATGCCTCTGGAACGTAAATTCGAAATAAACTCTCTTTCCCTTAAATTCCTTTAAGGAATCATAGAAACATTTCTTATTGCTTATGTTATTTTGTCACAGCAACAAATAGGTCACCAATGTAGCTACTTGAGCAGACTTCTGCGTCTCATAGTCTTATTCATCTCATTTAAAAACTCCAAAGCCTGGTAAATATTGGAGGTGATGTGGTCGCCCTTTTTAATCTGCCCACATTTTGCAATAGACATATCTGATGATGGAATAAAGCATTACATTTCCTCATATGACCACCCTTTTTCTCTGAAAATGATCTGCAATATATTTGATGTGAGGACCCAGTGGTGATCGGGGTGTAAGGATGTGCGCATCTCATTTCTTCTGTATTTTTTCTTCTACACACAATGAAAGTTAAAGCAAGGCGGCCATTATCTCCTGTTTTATATATCATACCAAGGATGTGGAATGGGCAAATGAAGGGATAAATGAATTGTATGCTTAACGCAGTAGACTATATTGCCTGACCCAAAAGAGAAAATCTGTCTGCCCAGGAAAAGAGGCAATATGCGGGGGGGGGGGGAGAGATTAAAAAAGGCAATTAAAAGGGATTCCACACACCCCAAAAGAATGACAGCCAGGGACCAAAGTGACAGAACGGTAGAACGGTGCTTTACACAAAGCCTGGCTGTATTTCGGTCTACTGAGTACTGTCTTGTTACTCTGGTGTTCGTGTCCTTCTGCCCAGGAAGTGGGCTGGAATTCCTCTTCAAGGCATTCACTCATTTGCACCAGCAGTGTTTTGCAAATTCTATCTGTTGTTCAGCAGGAGTGCCAAAATAATTATCTGGGATGCCTGCCTGTTTTGTGGTTGCCTCTGTTCCCCTGCCCCCCCCCTTTCTTGAAGAGCTGTCCTCTGTAGGGTGCTTTCTGTGTCTACACTGGTCCTCAGCCTCCTGCCTTCAATCATCCACCATGGCTAAGACCCACATGGCACCATCTGCTTATTCTCTCTCTCTCTCTCTCTCTCTCTCTCTCTCTCTCTCTCTCTCTCTCTCTCTCTCTCTCTCTCTCTCCTGCTCAACAGAATCACCCATGCAAAGATCTTTTTATTTCTTATTTGTATTTTTTAGTGTTGGATCACTGGCTTTTTATTTTGCTAAGAATACAGAGAGGTTGTACCCAGAAAGAATAGAGTTCACCTTTCGTGATGCCCTGTGGATGATTCAGGGGCCCTGCACTGGTTCTGAACTGTTGATTTCTATATTTTGTGTTGTCTACTTCTGATTTATTTTGAGCAAAGCTTTCCTTTGGAACTTGAATATGATGCATGTAGTTTCAGAGGAGTTTACATTGTCAGTCACAGGGTGGGTCAATTCTCATTCAGAGGCTGGTACAAGGCATAGGTCTGACCTGAGATCTGTCTCTCCTTGGTTCTTATTGAACACCTCTCAGCAGGACAGGCATGGAAAAACACTCTCTTCCCTCAGCTCCCAAAGGACATTTACAGAGACATACATACACCAGCATCTTTCTCTCTCTCTCTCTCTCTCTCTCTCTCTCTCTCTCTCTCTCTCTCTCTCTCTCTCTCTCTCTCTCTCACACACACACACACACACACCACACATCATACACACACCACACACACACACCACATACACATCATATACACACACACACCACACACACACACCACACACATACCACTACCATCACACACACACACCACACATACACACCCCACATACACACCAGGGGAACATTATTTTACAGACAGAACAGCCTGCAGGCAGTTTTAAATATTTCTGAGAATCCAGAACTTATGTGCATGACAATACCTCCCTATGAAGATAAGTCGAAGATGATCTGATGATGCCATCCGAATTTAACCATGGCTACTTGGGGATTTAGTTCAGGAAAAGCCAGAGCGCTAGACTCTTACTGACCAGACCCAAGGGAGGCAGCCAGAGGCAGGAAGGGCCCCTGCTTCACACGTTCCTCTGCCCCCATTTATCTAAGAGGAACGAGGAGAGTGTAACTGGAAACGCATAGCCATGAGACCATAGTTAAAGACTTTGTGGCTCGGGCAGGTGTCCATCCTCACGGTTTCTTCTTCGGCCAGGCCAGTCAGATACAGTTCACTTTTGGGTCAGAAGGACAGTCTTGACTTTTCTCTCCCGCAGTCAGTCCTTGCTCTGCGGAAATCTGAACGAGCTGGCGATGACTCCCTCTGCCCTCCTCCAGCCCCTCTTGCTTCCTCATGGCTGGTGTGGGAGAATGCCTTAGGCTGAGCCCAGGCGGGGGGAGCAGGGCGGAGAGCCCCATCCACTCCGAAGGCACCACTGTGGCCTTACTTCTAGTCAGACTGGCTAATTTGGCCTAGCCCCAGCAAGCCTCCTTCCTCCTTCCCTCAGCATGGAGGCAAGGCCTGCTTTCCACATAGGCGTTTAGACATGCAGAAGCGAATGCCAAAATGAATTAGCCGAAATAGCTCTATTAATTTATGCTTCGACAGTAATGACCTTAAGACAGAGAAGAGTTATATATTAATTTGTTTTTAGTGTATAGCACTGCTAAGTTAACACATTTAGGAGACTACACTTCCCTGTCTCCAGCTGAGAGGGTAAATGAGGCTTCTGGAGCTGGGGCCCCAGTTCCGCAAAGATCCCGCT